GGGGGGGTGAGGCCTAACCTGGGCCTACCTGGGGCCTTCAGCCCGGCGGGAGAACCTGCCCCCCTTTTTGTTTGTTTTAACTGTAATTAATTTGACTTGCAGGAAATCCTCGATCCTCAGAGAACGGCCTTTCTGCTGCGGAAGAAGTGGACCTTGTACAGCGTCACCCCCCTGTACAGGTTCTGCGCGGCCCGGCTGAAGGATTATTCCCGCCTGCTCAGCGCCTTCCTGGCTGCCGAGAGGCAGAAGGGCCTGGCCGTGGAAGTAGGGGTGGAACCGGACATCAAGGTGGTTGTTTCCAGCCTGCCGGACCTGAAAGGCAGCGAGAAAGACCAGGCTGCCATTCTCGTGCAGGTAAGGAGCCCTCCTGGCGGTTCTGCCACAAGTTTCCTGTCGTCAAATGTCTCTCTTGAATAAAACACCCGAGCGACCTAAATCCCAGCTGTGTGGAATAACTGTAGTACCTGCTGAGATGTCAGGGAAAGTGTTTTTAACTGGAACTGAACATCTCATAAAGCGTGGATACGTTTAATTGCATTTTTGATACGACCAGAGTTAAGGCTATAAGGAGCAATCCTCTCATGTTCTAGCTCACCAGTCAGTTTACTGCAAGAAGTTGGACAGGTTACCTTCCTGGATAAAGCTGGGATAATCCTACCTCCTGGCCACAACCCAGGTCTAACTAATATTCCTGAAATGCTGTGTCTCACGTGGAAGATGCCACTGAAATGCCACGTTCAGTAGGGTGATGGTTATGTGATGCACCATATAGGATTGCTCTTTTTAAGCAATGTAAGCTCCTCTTTCAGGACTGTTCTTAGTGAAGTGCTTTTCCTGGTGTTTCCAGCAGAACTGCATACATCTTTGTGATAGAATGGATAGACTGAGTAACTATGAGCTTTACAGGAAAGAATGTTGCACGCAAGGTCTTGAGAAAAACCTTCTGCCGAACAGCTGAGATCATAAACAAAAAAACCCAAACTCTAGCACTCAAGTATTTATTTTCTCTATCCCAGCTTTCCACAAGATCAGCAGCTTCCAAAAAAAATTCAGAGGAGAAACTGCTGTGGTCGGGCTGGTTCTGCTGTGTGGCTGGAGATGAGCTTTCAGAGAACCTGCCAGGGGACTTCACTTGCTTGCCTCTGTTCCTTGTCAGTGGGGCCGAGTGTTACACCTCCATCGTTGGAAGCTGGTTTCAGAAGACTTTTGACTGCTGCTTTCGTCGTTTAGCCATCAGCCCTCTCAACCTCAGCTGGATGGCAGCTATGTGGACTGGATGCAAAGTGGACAAAGCTTCATCTGCCATGGAACTTGTTTTCTCTGTCCCCTGCCTGTCCCAGCCTCTGGATATCTCGTACGCCATTCATCCCGAGGATGCAAAAGCTCTGTGGGATACAGTCCAGAAAACTCCAGGAGAGATCACTCAGGAAGAGGTGGATGTCTTCATGGACTGTCTTTACTCTCACTTCCACAGGCACTTTAAGATCCACTTGTCAGCTACAAAACTGGTGAAGGTTTCTACAGCAATTGCCTCGGCACACTGCGATGGCATCATTAAGGTGAGCTCTTAGGTAGTATGTTTTCCTAATTAATGCTAGATAAAAATAGCTGTACCTGTCTAGAAATGCCGTATTTTTAAAAATTAACATTTCCTGTTTCTTATACATCAGTTTCTGCAAAAAGGTGTTAAACTCTCAGCTTTTTCTTTAATTTGTTCTAGGGTTGGGGCAGCTATAAATTCAACTATTGCATGGCAGAAGAAGATACTAACCCTAGTCTTGGGTCAGAAATAGGTGGATTAGCTGTGGTATTAACAGGAAGGTTTATTTGTCCATTGGCCAAAACTTAAGACTTTAAAATATCCCAAACTTAAGAAAAATATCTTAAAATTCATTACTTTCTAGTATTGCAGTTATTAAGACAGACAAATATAATTAACCTACTATATGGAAATAACTGGTGTGTGGGTGAGCTAAGAAATGGATGATCTTAAGAGTCAAAACATCTTCCTTAAAACTACTTCACCTGTAATCCTTTCCATAAAGGTGCTGCTTTCTCTGAAGAGATGTCCATAATGTGCTTTAAAACCATGGATTAATCCTTCCTGAAGTTTCTTCAAGGAATACAGTTAAAGAACACATTTTGTGTAAATGCAATGGCTTAAATTTAGTCCATCCATGTGCTGACTTCATTGTTCTGTGTACAGAGGGAATGTTGGAGGCTATAACTGGGACTCCACTCATCCACGTTTTTCCTGGAGCAGGAGTCCATCAAATAAAAGACAATCAGCTTTGCTGGGATTTCTTAACAATTTTGGCCTTTGGTAGGACAACTGCAAAGCACTAAGTCTTAGTGTTACGTTGCCTTTTTTATCTGGAGCAGTTTAAAAGGGGCTGAAACAACTTCTTACACTGCAGGTGTGTCAACACAAGATACTCAACTGATCAGGCTTTCTGAAGAAGGGTTCTCTTCAGCACACCCATGTGTTGTGTCAACTCAGTTGTGGCCCTTCCATCATGGGGATAATGAGTTCAAGTCAGACATTGAGTACAGGAAAATAGGGGTATACAAGGAAACTGGTATCGTCTCCTTCAGCCAAAGGAGCAGATTCTCACCTTCTGAAAAGCTGGGATAGAAGCAGGGTGTTTCTTAGGTACCTTGCTTCATGTGGGACAGAAGTAGAAGTCAGAGGGCTCTAAAAGCAGCATGTGGCATGTGTGTGTTCTCCATATCCGGGCTCAAAAGAGTAACAAAGCTACCTTGCAAATAACAGAGAAGCTGACTAATCACTTGGAATACTTAGCAGTTGGTTTTCAACAATTTAAGGGTTTGGAAACCTGGAAAGCGCAATTTTTGTTTTGACGTGTCTTTTTTTTTTGTCCCCCCCCCTGCAGTTTCTTCAAAGCCAGTACCTAACAGGAGTGCTGATGCTACTGACAGAACTAGCAATTTCTCAGATACAGTGAGAGTCACTCCAGCAAATCCCCATGCTAAAAACACTTGTTGGAAGATGATGTATGTTGAGAAGCTGGCTGGAAACACACTCCAGCAGCATCTTCTGTCCTTTCGTGGAGGCTGCCCGAAGTTCGACTCAACACCTGCACTCAACACCATATCTAGCTGTAGTTCAATGCCATGCATAGCAAAGACAAGCAGATATTTTGCCCTATAGAAAGGGCTACAACCTCTAATAGCTTCTTAAGCACCTTTGTTTTATCATAGTTGCTCTGTTCATTTCTGTTTATCTCCTAGCCCCTGGCTGGTACCAAATTTGCAGACTCTTGGTGCAACTTATTGACAAGTTTTTCTATTGTTTTGAATAGCAAATTGGTTTTCACTTAACTAGACACCCCAAGCTGTACAGACATTAGCCTGAGCTAACCTGTGACTCCTGGGCCAGGCCAAATGCAAAGTCAAGCACACGTGAGAAAGGCTACATGCTGTACAACCCAGAGCAGAAGAAAACAGGTCTCTGACTTCCTTTACAGCTGGCTAAGGATGGTTGGTGACAGTAATGAAGTGTCCATCTACAGCCCAGTTGGGCTAAGGTGAACAGCATGAGACTGACAACTACCTTGTATGTCCAGCTTGTTGGTCCTCTCAAACAAGTTAATGCATGGGAAAGGGAGGTCTGTGTGTAAACTAGACAGATTTATCATATTTTGCCTGATGTTTGTTGTCTTAGATGTAATCTTGTAGGCCAGAGACCTCTGGGGGTTGGAGCTGTGGGTGATGGAATTTTGTACCTGATCTCTCCCTTCTACAGCAGGCAGGAGTGCAGAGAACTAGTGCACAGTGCCTGGCTCTAGCTTAAATGAGGAGAAAGGATTTAGAATAAGTATATGCTAAATGTTATGATATTCACATTATAGTACTAAATAAAAGTTGCCATTTTTTGCCAATAGATTGGTCCTGACTAAAGTGTGGTGCTTACTTCCAACTATAGCTTACCTGACTAAACTAATACTTACTACCTACACTACATATTCGGTGAGCAGCAAAAGGGAAAGTCTAGTTCCCTACACAAAACACTTGTAATGACTTCACACTCATGCTGCATCTCTAAGGTCTGATGAGTTTGTGCTGTGACCTTCCCCCAAAGTAGGGCTGCAAGTTTTCCCTTCTTTGCCCATCCACATTTTAAGGGTTTATTACTGATTATTGACTATCCCTAAAAACATTCTTCATTCTTCTCCCCAGCAACATAACATGTAACTTCTTCACATGACATAATTGCATGCCTAGTTCCTAACCTACTTTTAATCATTTATTTCCAGATTTAGCCAAAGAAACATGCACTTGGTTTCAGGTTTTGTTTACTAGTTGAAGACAGATTATTTTTGCATGTAAAGGTTGCAGTGAAGTGCTAACTCCTACCCTAGCAGAAGCAGCTAAGCCATCTTCTGAAGGCCCTGACAGGCCTGCAGCTATTTAAACCACCACTTGTGATGCTCTGGTTTCTTTTCATGAAACCCCTTAGGCAAAGCTTGCTATCTCAATTTAGAGGAACACTGGGTAAAGCAGGAGTAGGAGGTCTGATATAACTGGCATCTGTACTTGATTTGACAACAGGGCTGTTCCACCCACAGCTCAGTTTTCATTCTAATGCCCAGCTCTTTCCAACTAATTTGCATCAATAATCTCTAAAAAATAAGTTCTGTATATCCTCTTTTAGCCCCTTAAGAACACAGAGTAATAGCATGTGACCCTCCAATGCACTAAATGAATTACAGCCATATTCAGCTTTCAAGAGTGATGCTTTAACAGAAGTAAAGCTACTTCTCTTTTTCACCTGCAGTTAAGTGAACACAGTTAGATTTACCCAGACAGGCCAGATGCTTTCTTGCAGAGAAAGCTGGCTCTGAGTGATGTGCTTCTAAGAAATGGATGGCAATGCTAACCAGCAGTTTAAAGCCATTTTTTTTTTTAATGATAGCTAAAAAAGCAACATCTGTGTCCAAACAACCTATACAAAAGCACAGCCCCCTGTTTTCACTCAAACAACAAACAAAGAACAGCGTAGAAGAAATTTATTAAGATAGCACTATTTATACAAGTTACTCATGCTAGAAAAAAGCATAAATGATACATGTAAACATCTGTTTACAGAATACTTGTTTTCCTTGTAAAGGTGCAAATGATCTTTGTTATGTAAACACAAGAATACCAACCTTTAGGGGAAAAGGGGCTTTTAAAAAAGTTTCAATGACCTATTTATTACTGTATTGTAATTTTTACTATATTCAAGCACATTAAAATCTGAGTTACATGAATCAAAGTATGAAGTTAAAGAACTTAAGATGTCAGCACTGCCTTTTTCATCTCCAGAATTTACAAGTCTTTTACTCTTTTAAAATCAGATGTAATAAGGTCCAACATTGTATCAGGTGCAAAAGGTCATTCTTTCACACTAGACAGAAGTTACAGTACAAACATATCAGAACCTTTGAGTTTAGAGTTCATCTTTCCTCTGCCCCCACCCCTGGGTGTCCCCACAGCCACTGAAACATGCCAGTTTCTCACAGTGCCAGCAAACAGTCCTTCCCCTCCAAACTGCTTCATGAGTCTCACACCTTTCCCAGCCCATAACAAACACAGGCAAAGTGCATAAAAGTCATTAAAAGGGAGGGTATCAGCTCATCAAGGTCAGTGTTTTACAGTGTTTTACAGACACAGGCAAGAGGGTAGCTCAGGTGGTGCTGGTCTAAGCTTTTTTCAGCAAGAGCTGACTGGGGGTTTGCTCTTCTAGCAAGAACCTGAGAAGTGTTGATCTAGGCTGGTCAGAATTAGCAAATGAAACTGCATCCCAGCTTCAGACAAGAACTGATGTCTAGCAGGCAATGTGAGAAAAAGGTTTTTACAAGTAGGCAACAACTAGTTGTTTCTAGGTTCACGTACAGGGGAGGGGAGAGACAAAAGCTGAACTTCTGTACCATACACTGTACAGTAAAAAGGCATTGTTTGAAATCCTTTTCACTCTCACCCTTTTTTGGGCACTTCACTGATTCAGTCGATAGATGAGAGTTCCAGTTCTACTTCTTGCGTCCACAGCAAGACTGAAAAGATAACCAGGGCACCCATCCTCACAGCTTTCCTGTACTCTAAGAGACTCTAAAACATACCACAAGGGCTGGAACCACAATAGCTGGCAGGACATAGCCCTGCCCTAACTACCAGCTTGTCAAAACTCAATTCACACACGCACATATACATATATATATAAAAATACATATATATATATGCAGACATACATATGTATAGAAAAAGCTGGAATTATCGCTGAGCGAGTCAACAAAAAAACATAATACAAATTAAATGAAAAAATAAATATACTCTGTGCACAGAAAAAAAAGCTCCTGTGCAAAGGTGGCACCTTGCAGGTCAAGTACTTTTTTTGAAGCTCTCTGTAAATAAGGCAAAAAGCAATGTTTTCTGTGTCACTCTCCTCTTTCACCCACCACACAGCTGCCACATCCACTGCTCACACAGCAGGAGGAAAAGCAGGAAACCTCCCTCCTTACCAGACTCCCAGTATAGCACGTAGTCTCTACATTGTTTCTGCTACAATAACTTTTGACAGTTTGGTTTGTTCAAAAAATGTAGACTATTTAGAAAAAATATGGACATAAGCATCACTTCTACTTCTGTCCAGTGGTTCCTTGGAAGTCTGACAAC